CACTACAGGCTCCACTCACTTCACACTGGAGGATCCACACACGTCACACACACAAACTCCAGGATCCAAACACGTCACATACACTGCAGGCTCTACACACGTCACACACACTGCAGGATCCACACACTACAGGCTCCACTCACTTCACACTGCAGGATCCACACACGTCACACACACACTGCAGGGTCCAAACACGTCACACACACTGCATGCTCTACACACGTCACACACACTGCAGGCTCCACATGCGTCGCACACACTGCAGGCCCCACATACGTCGCACACACTGCAGCCTCCACACACACACACACACACACACACACACACACACACACACACACACACACACACACACACACACACACACACACTGCAGGTTCCACAGAAGTCACTCACATGGAAGGTTCCACGCACGTCATAGCCTCACTCAACACAAATACGGTAGCCTCCGCACACGTCACACAAACTACGGTCTAAAACACTGTATGATTCACATACTTTATACACACACGTCACACACACTACGGTTTAAAACACTGCAGGATTCACATACTTTATACACACACGTCACACACACTACGGTTTAAAACACTGCAGGATTCACATACTTTATACACACACGTTACACACACTACGGTCTAAAACACTGCATGATTCACATACTTTATACACACACGTCACACAAACTACGGTCTAAAACACTGTAGGATTCACATACTTTATACACACACGTCACACACACTACGGTTTAAAACACTGCAGGATTCACATACTTTATACACACCCGTCACACACACTACGGTCTAAAACACTGCTGGATTCACATACTTTATACACGCACGTCTCACATCCCGATCATCTCTAGATCAAACCATCGTATTGCCAACAGATGACTGTGGTGCACACTGGGGTAATCGTCGCTGTCAGAGTTCATGATTTCGGGTAACACCCGACTGACTTTGCACTTCCTTGTGGTCGTGTTCGTGTCTGGTGACGTCGAAGGCCAATGTCAGCCTGATACCACATGAGCGACCCCTATTCAATATTGACCAAGGGAGGGTCACTGGGCAGTACTATGGGAACAACATACCGGCAGACTTTGTAGACCATTTTGCAAGACTTGAAGGTCAACAACGATCATGCTCACAGTGCACGAAAGTCAATGGTCACCTCGAGCAGCACAACATCCACAGAATGCCACAGGCAGCATTGAGCCTAGAGCTTTCACACTGGTTATCCCCTAGAACGACTGCCACCTTCCACACATGACACAATGTTAATACTACCATTGTTTTGTGCTTCCTCTCACACTGAAGTACACTGCCACCTTCCACACATGACACAATGTTAAATTGCAAATTGTCACAATCACAAGTCTCACACTGAAGATACTGCCACCTTCCACACATGACACAATGTGCCACCTTCCACACACATGACACAATGTTAAGTCACACACTGCCAATACATGACACAATGTTAGTCACACACTGCCACCTTCCACACATGACACAATGTTAAGTCTCACACTGAAGACACTGCCACCTTCCACACATGACACAATGTTAAGTCTCACACTGAAGATACTGCCACCTTCCACACATGACACAATGTTAAGTGACACACTGAAGACACTGCCACCTTCCACACATGACACAATGTTAAGTCTCACACTGAAGACACTGCCACCTTCCACACATGACACAATGTTAAGTCTCACACTGAAGACACTGCCACCTTCCACACATGACACAATGTTAAGTGACACACTGAAGACACTGCCACCTTCCACACATGACACAATGTTAAGTCTCACACTGAAGATACTGCCACCTTCCACACATGACACAATGTTAAGTCTCACACTGAAGACACTGCCACCTTCCACACATGCCACCTTCCACACATGACACAATGTTAAGTCTCACACTGAAGACACTGCCACCTTCACCACATGACACAATGTTAAGTCTCACACTGAACACAGTGCCACTTTCCACACATGGCACAATGTAAAGTCAGGCATGGAATACACTGCCACCTTCCACACACAATGTGACACAACTGTTAAGTCTCACACTGTTCCACACACACAATGTTAAGTCTCACACTGAAGACACTGCCACCTTCCACACATGACACAATGTTATGAACACAATGTTAAGTCTCACACTGAAGACACTGCCACCTTCCACACATGACACAATGTTAAGTCTCACACTGAAGACACTGCCACCTTCCACACAATGACACAATGTTAAGTCCTTCACACTGAAGACACTGCCACCTTCCACACATGACACAATGTTAAGTCTCACACTGAAGACACTGCCACCTTCCACACACAATGTTAAGTCTTCACACTGAAGTCACACACCTTCCACATGACACAATGACACAATGTTAAGTCTCACACTGAAGACACTGCCACCTTCCACACATGACACAATGTTAAGTCTCACACTGAAGACACTGCCACCTTCCACACATGACACAATGTTAAGTCTCACACTGAAGACACTGCCACCTTCCACACATGACACAATGTTAAGTCTCACACTGAAGACACTGCCACCTTCCACACATGACACAATGTTAAGTCTCACACTGAAGACACTGCCACCTTCCACACATGACACAATGTTAAGTCTCACACTGAAGTCACTGCCACCTTCCACACATGACACAATGTTAAGTCTCACACTCTCACACTGAAGACACTGCCACCTTCCACACATGACACAATGTTAAGTCTCACACTGAAGACTGCCACTGCCACCTTCCACACATGACACAATGTTAGTCTCACACTGTCACTGCCACCTTCCACTGAAGACACTGAAGACACTGCCACCTTCCACACATGACACAATGTTAAGTCTCACACTGAAGACACTGCCACCTTCCACACACATGACACAATGTTACACAATGTTAAGTCACACACTGTTAAGTCTCACACTGAAGACACTGCCACCTTCCACACATGACAAGACACTGCCACCTTCCACACATGACACAATGTTAAGTCACACACTGAAGACACTGCCACCTTCCACACATGACACAATGTTAAGTCTCACACTGAAGACACTGCCACCTTCCACACATGACACAATGTTAAGTCTCACACTGAAGACACTGCCACCTTCCACACATGACACAATGTTAAGTGCCACCTTCACACTGAAGACACTGCCACCTTCCACACATGACACAATGTTAAGTCTCACACTGAAGACACTGCCACCTTCCACACATGACACACCTTCCACCTTCCACACATGACACAATGTTAAGTCTCACACTGAAGACACTGCCACCTTCCACACATGACACAATGTTAAGTCTCACACTGAAGACACTGCCACCTTCCACACATGACACAATGTTAAGTCTCACACTGAAGACACTGCCACCTTCCACACATGACACAATGTTAGTCACACACACCTTCCACACATGACAAGACACTGCCACCTTCCACACATGACACAATGTTAAGTCTCACACTGAAGACACTGCCACCTTCCACACATGACACAATGTTAAGTCACACACTGAAGACACTGCCACCTTCCACACATACACAATGTTAAGTCTCACACTGAAGACACTGCCACCTTCCACACATGACACAATGTTAAGTCTCACACTGAAGACACTGCCACCTTCCACACATGACACAATGTTAAGTCTCACACTGAAGACACTGCCACCTTCCACACATGACACAATGTTAAGTCACACTGAAGACACTGCCACCTTCCACACATCCAATGTTACACTGAAGACACTGCCACCTTCCACACATGACACAATGTTAAGTCTCACACTGAAGACACTGCCACCTTCCACACATGACACAATGTTAAGTCTCACACTGAAGACACTGCCACCTTCCACACATGACACAATGTTAAGTCTCACACTGAAGACACTGCCACCTTCCACACATGACACAATGTTAAGTCTCACACTGAAGACACTGCCACCTTCCACACATGACACAATGTTAAGTCTCACACTGAAGACACTGCCACCTTCCACACATGACACAATGTTAACACTGCCACCTTCCACACATGACACAATGTTAAGTCTCACACTGACACTGCCACCTTCCACACATGACACAATGTTAAGTCTCACACTGAAGACACTGCCACCTTCCACACATGACACAATGTTAAGTCTCACACTGAAGACACTGCCACCTTCCACACATGACACAATGTTAAGTGACACACTCACACTTCCAAGACACAATGTCTCACACTCCACACATGACACAATGTTAAGTCTCACACTGAAGACACTGCCACCTTCCACACATGACACAATGTTAAGTCTCACACTGAACACACTGCCACCTTCCACACATGACACAATGTTAAGTCTCACACTGAAGACACTGCCACCTTCCACACATGACACACACATGTTACAATGTTAAGTCTCACACTGAAGTCACTGCCACCTTCCACACACACACAATGTTAACACAATGTCTCACATTGAAGACACTGCCACCTTCCACACATGACACAATGTTAAGTGACACACTGAAGTCACTGCCACCTTCCACACATGACACAATGTTATATACACAATCTACACATGACACACTGAGTGTTAAGTCACACACTGAAGACACTGCCACATTCTACACATGACATAATGTTAAGTCTACACATGACACTGAAGAAGTCACACACTGACGACACTGCCACATTCTTCACATAACACAGAGTGTTAAGTGACACACTGAAGACACTGCCACATTCTACACATGACACACTGAGTGTTAAGTCACGCACTGAGGAGATGAATGGAAGAACATCCACACTGGTCTGTGTCAATGCTGTATCGTGAGGTGAGACTGTTGAATCCTATATCTCCTCCATCACAGGCTTCACCTGTGGCACATGGATGCTGTCATTTAGTACGTCTGAATGTCAGCCCAGTATCGGGGTTCAGTTTGTGGTGTTTTGTTGTAGACACAAGCTCCCTTTGCGAGTCCGAATGCGAGAACGGGGGCACATGTACGGAGGTCGGTGAATGCTCTTGTATGCAGGGATTTGAGGGCAAGTTTTGTCGTCTAGGTACGTCACAATATTGCGTCAAGGCATGGATGACGTACACAGCATGGCTCGATGGTTTCCATAGTGCTTAGCTTGAATAGTGTCTCCTAGACAGTGTTATAGTATGGTATCTTTAGCTGGCCAAGGAAGAAGACGTCTGATCTGAAATATGTTTTGTTATTTGTTAATGGCATGATTATGTCCAGTTATCCTGTATCCAGTTATACTCGTGACATACGCACGTTGGGTCAATTCTGCATGTAATGTGTAACATAACCTCAACATAACTCTTAAGGAGTATTTCTAACACCTCTAACATCGTTTTGGTTGTGGTGTGACAATGTGCATACATAGAAGCAGATATGTTCCATGTAGGTGCCACACGTATGTTCATCCCATGTGTTATGAACAAATGTTACATGAGCGGCATATCTGTTCCGGGGATGCTGGATGCATGTCGACGGGTTTCTTTAAATCTTCGGACCGGGAGCTCTTGCATAATCAAATAGTTTATCCTTGTTTCAAGAAAGATGGTAAGGTAACAACAGCAGTGATGAAGAGAGTTGCTGCTGCTGCCTTTGACAAATTAGACCTGCCTTCATGAAGGGGCTTACTTCAGCAGGTGCTCTATGTTACACTTAACCCAGGGTTGGTGAACGTTTATATCAGCAACATGCTTGAGTGAGATCGGAAACGCCACGCGGACCAACAATTACACATTATCAAGGACGCTATGTCACTACGTGCTTGCTCCCTGTCAGTGTCAGACACGTCATGTCACAATGTGCTTGTCCCTTTTCAATATCAAACGTCATGAAAGTACATCCTGGTTCTAATTAAGTATCAATCATCATGTAAGCACGTGCTTGTTTCCTGTCAGCATACTATACACCATGTCAGCATTTGATTGTTACTTACCAACATCAGACACGATGTCTTATAATGCGGTTTCTTTACACATACTCGCCTGCGTGAGATAGTCCTCTGACTGATGTCACGTCGTCGGTGTGAGGTGGTCCCGTGACTGGTGTCACGTCGTCGGTGTGAAGTGGTCCCCTGACTGGTGTCACATCGTCGGTATGAGGTGGTCCCCTGACTGATGTCACATCGTCGGTATGAGGTGGTCCCCTGACTGATGTCACATCGTCGGTATGAGGTGGTCCCCTGACTGATGTCACATCGTCGGTGTGAGGTGGTCCCCTGACTGATGTCACGTCGTCGGTGTGAGGTGGTCCCCTGACTGATGTCACATCGTCGGTGTGAGGTGGTCCCCTGACTGATGTCACATCGTCGGTATCAGGTGGTCCCCTGACTGGTGTCACGTCGTCGGTATGAGGTGGTCCCCTGACTGGTGTCACGTCGTCGGTGTGAGGTGGTCCCCTGACTGATGTCACATCGTCGGTGTGAGGTGGTCCCCTGACTGATGTCACGTCGTCGGTGTGAGGTGGTCCCCTGACTGGTGTCACGTCGTCGGTATGAGGTTGTCCCCTGACTGATGTCACATCGTCGGTATGAGGTGGTCCCCTGACTGATGTCACATCGTCGGTATGAGGTGGTCCCCTGACTGATGTCACATCGTCGGTGTGAGGTGGTCCCCTGACTGGTGTCACGTCGTCGGTGTGAGGTGGTCCCCTGACTGGTGTCACGTCGTCGGTATGAGGTTGTCCCCTGACTGATGTCACATCGTCGGTATGAGGTGGTCCCCTGACTGATGTCACATCGTCGGTATGAGGTGGTCCCCTGACTGATGTCACATCGTCGGTATGAGGTGGTCCCCTGACTGATGTCACATCGTCGGTGTGAGGTGGTCCCCTGACTGGTGTCACGTCGTCGGTGTGAGGTGGTCCCCTGACTGATGTCACATCGTCGGTGTGAGGTGGTCCCCTGACTGATGTCACATCGTCGGTATCAGGTGGTCCCCTGACTGGTGTCACGTCGTCGGTATGAGGTGGTCCCCTGACTGACTGGTGTCGTCGTCGGTGTGAGGTGGTCCCCTGACTGATGTCACATCGTCGGTGTGAGGTGGTCCCCTGACTGGTGTCACGTCGTCGGTGTGAGGTGGTCCCCTGACTGGTGTCACGTCGTCGGTATGAGGTTGTCCCCTGACTGATGTCACATCGTCGGTATGAGGTGGTCCCCTGACTGATGTCACATCGTCGGTATGAGGTGGTCCCCTGACTGATGTCACGTCGTCGGTATGAGGTGGTCCCCTGATTGGTGTCAAATCGTCGGTATGAGGTGGTCCCCTGACTGGTGTCACATCGTCGGTGTGAGGTGGTCCCCTGACTGGTGTCACGTCGTCGGTGTGAGGTGGTCCCCTGATTGGTGTCACGTCGTCGGTGTGAGGTGGTCCCACAGAGTGATATCACGTTATCTGTTTCAGGAGTATATCCCATTGCCTGTTTATATTGTGATGTGCTTTACTGTGCCTATGCAACTCACAGCATGCCCGATATTGTATTTAAATAATGTGCTGGATATGTATATAGTCTCAAAGATCTGCCCACACGATGTTGTCATTTTCACACTTAACATGTACTCGAGTAATTCCTATGAACGTCGCAGTGAACGAAACAAGCCAAACGTACATGATATCCTGGCCACATACACTTGCTGAATGCTCTGTAATCTGCTGTTGAAGGTGTAGACAGACGGAACATGGCCCTAACTGTATATAGCTGCAGATAGCAGCTGGCCCCAGGTGTTCCGTGCAGCCTTATCCAAAACCCTGTCAGGCAGTCTTGGGTCCTGTGGTCAACATCTCACTGAGCATGACTTCATTAACCGGACATTTTGCATGTTTCAGCCCTCTGTAACCCGATCTGTCAGAACAATGGAACGTGCATATCTCCCGAAGTGTGCGCATGTCCGGAAGGGTACACTGGGACTCATTGTGAGAAAGGTATAATTTCAGAGTGTGATATCTTTATATCCACACACTGTAGATAGTGAGTGTGTTTGCTATACAAAGCATGCACATATGGTCAAGGTACGTGTGTTGCTGTGGCATGAGGACATATAGTGTTTGATGCTGCTGACAAGATAAATACAGTGGCTAATTGGTTTCGAGTAAATATGTCGACTATCAGCTGAAGTATCAATTTTGTAGATTAGAAGCTCATTTTTATTTATTTTTTCCCTCATTAATCCCCGTATCACTCCATTTCAGCTACCTGTGGGCGTCCCTGTGAGAACGGTGGGCGCTGCCTCCCCGAGGGCTACTGCTGGTGCACCAAGGGCTACTATGGGGAGGCATGTGAATACAGTAAGTCAGCCATCGTCCCGTGGGTAGACAGACTGTTGGGTTGTATAGAGGTCGCCATATCGGTTGTATTGCTGTCCCAGTCCACGAGTACACCTGCACGATGTAGTCAGCACGTGAAAGTGTGTGGTCTTCAGTAATGTACGATGGGCTCTAATGTTTGAGGACACATGTATGTTCTCGTGTGAGAACATCTGCATGTTGTCTGTGAGTACAGCTGTGTGTGGGTAAACGTGTGGTGTATCGGTACACTAGTCACTTGTGTGTTTTAGTGTATTGGTACACTTGTGTGATGTGGTGTATTGGTACACTTGTGTGATGTGGTGTATTGGTACACTTGTGTGATATGGGGTATTGGTACACTTGTGTGATATGGGGTATTGGTACACTTGTGTGATATGGGGCATTGGTACACTTGATTGTTCTCGTGTATTGGTACACTTGATTGTTCTTGTGTATTGGTACACTTGATTGTTCTTGTGTATTGGTACACTTGTGTGATATGGGGTATTGGTACACTTGTGTGATATGGGGCATTGGTACACTTGATTGTTCTCGTGTATTGGTACACTTGATTGTTCTCGTGTATTGGTACACTTGTGTGATATGGGGTATTGGTACACTTGTGTGATATGGGGTATTGGTACACTTGTGTGATATGGGGCATTGGTACACTTGATTGTTCTCGTGTATTGGTACACTTGTGAAATGGCGTTTTGGTACACTTGTGTGATATGGTGTATTGGTACACTTGATTGTTCTTGTGTATTGGTACAATTGTGTGATATGGGGTATTGGTACACTTGTGTGATATGGTGTATTGGTACACTTAATTGTTCTTGTGTATTGGTACAATTGTGTGATATGGGGTATTGGTACACTTGTGTGATATGGGGTAGTGGTACAATTGTGTAATATCGGGTATTGGTACACTTGAGTGTTCTCGTGTATTGGTACACTCGTATGATGTCGTGTATTGGTACACTTGTGTGATAATGTATAGTGGTACACTTGTGTGATGTGGTGTATTGGTACACTTGTGTGATGTGGGGTATTGGTACTCTCGTGCGATATGGGGTACTGGTACGCTTGTGTGATATGAGATATTAGTACACGTGTGTGTTCTAACTCCATGGGTATACATGTGTGTTATAGTGTACTCCATGAGTATACATGTGTGTTTAGTGTACTCCATGGGTATACATGTGTGTTTAGTGTACTCCATGGGTATACATGTGTGTTTAGTGTACTCCATGGGTATACATGTGTGTTTAGTGTACTCCATGGGTATACATGTGTATCCATGGGTATACATGTGTGTTTAGTGTACTCCATGGGTATACATGTGTGTTTAGTGTACTCCATTGGTATACATGTGTGTTTTAGTGTACTACTGCACCTTCGTGTTCCAGGCCATTGCAACAACAGTCCGTGTGAGAATGGGGGTACATGTATCGGCCCAGTCAGATGCCAATGTTCTTCTGGTTACTCCGGCAACCAGTGCCAACACAGTAGTAAGTTCAATACAAGTCCTTGTCATCTTCAAAGTCTGCTCTTATCCATACTTATATCATGTTAGTCTCAGTGATCTCCAAAGCTTTCTTCTGTGTTGAGAACAATTTGATGACGTTACCATAAAGCTATCCAAGTGGCGGCGTGTGAGAGACGTTGTATTGGTTGTTTTGGCGGCGTGGTCTGTACACGATGGTGCTGTTGTTTCCGCAGAGATGAGGACAGACACGGAGCGGCCGCGGCGCAGTGACAACCGTCGGCGCAGTACCGACAAAAACAAACGTAACCCGACAAGGAAGAAAAAACGCAGGACACGGAAAGACAGGAAGGAGAGAAAAGGTCAGTAGTCTGAGGTACACATATGTGTCATCACATATGTGTACCTGGTGCGGGACCATCTTAATGGATCCATATCTCTACATAGACAGATGTATCTGATACCGGACCATCTTAATGGATCCATATCTACATAGACAGCAGTATCGGATACCCGGACCATCTTAATGGATCCAGATGTCTACACAGACAGAGGTATCGGATACCGGGACCATCTTAATGGATCCAGATGTCTACATAGACAGAGGTGTCTGATACCAGGACCATCTTAAGTGAGCCATGTCTACAAAGACAGAGGTATCTGATAGCAGGACCATCTTAATGGATCCATGTCTACATAGACAGAGGTATCGGATACCGGACCATCTTAATGGATCCATGTCTACATAGACAGAGGTATCGGATACCGGGACCATCTTAATGGATCCATGTCTACATAGACAGAGGTATCTGATACCAGGACCATCTTAATGGATCCATATCTACATGGACAGAGGTATCGGATACCGGGACCATCTTAATGGATCCATGTCTACATGGACAGAGGTATCGGATACCGGACCATCTTAAGTGAGCCATGTCTACATAGACAGAGGTATCGGATACCGGGACCATCTTAATGGATCCATGTCTACATAGACAGAGGTATCGGATACCGGACCATTTTATTGGATCCATGTCTACATAGACAGAGGTATCGGATACCGGGACCATCTTAATGGATCCATATCTACATGGACAGAGGTATCGGATACCGGACCATCTTAAGTGAGCCATGTCTACATAGACAGAGGTATCGGATACCGGACCATTTTATTGGATCCATGTCTACATAGACAGAGGTATCGGATACCGTGACCATCTTAATGGATCCATGTCTACATAGACAGAGGTATCTGATACCGGACCATCTTAATGGATCCATATCTACATGGACAGAGGTATCGGATACCGGACCATCTTAATGGATCCATGTCTACATAGACAGAGGTATCGGATACCGGACCATCTTAATGGATCCATGTCTACATAGACAGAGGTATCTGATACCGGACCATCTTAATGGATCCATGTCTACATGGACAGAGGTATCTGATACCGGACCATCTTAATGGATCCATGTCTACATAGACAGAGGTATCTGATACCGACATCTTAATGATCCATGTATCGGATACCGGACCATCTTAATGGATCCATGTCTACATAGACAGAGGTATCGGATACCGTGACCATCTTAATGGATCCATATCTACATATACAGAGGTATCTGATACGGGCACCATTGAATGGATCCATCTATCATCATAGCCGTAGGTACCTGATACAGGGGTCATCTTAATTCATATGTCTGCATAGACAAAGGTATCTGATATCAAGGTAATTCACATATATGCATATACAGAACTGTGCACGCTTTTATCACAACTGAAGCTTTAATCTATATATTTCGATTGATAGGGACGCATGTGCACTGGAATAGGATTTCATAATTTTATATTTCCGGTTTCAGCTGAATTCGAAAAGAAGCTGTTAAAGACAGAAAAACGCATACTGAAGATTATCAAGCGGAAGTCTAAAGTTTGGAGTTTGACCAGGGAGGAGCGGCGTGTGTTTCGTAAACTGGTGCGCGATAGTCAGCAGCGGACTTTACTGATGAAAGAGAGAAATTGGCTCTCAAAAATATTGACACGCGAAAAAGATAAACTTACAAATAAAGAAAGGCTTAAGTTGAAGCGCTATAAGAAACTGATAAGGATGGGAAGACGACGAAAGCCCAAGAAGAAGCAGTACGTGTAGCTGTTTTGAGAGAGCAAGAACACGTTTAGTTGTGAGAAGCAGACGACAGCCAGTGGTTCATGTTATACGTGAAGATTTCACAAAGGTGCAAGTGTTAATGAGCGGACGATTGAATATCGCCATGAGCTTGGGCACATACTTGTAACTGGTATATAGTTATGTCATGAAGCGGTTATGTTGATCGGGCAGTGTTGCTATGGATAATAAGTGGGTGGGGAACCCGGACTAAGCATTGCTAAATAAATATTGTCTTCCTTTAACGTGGGCATATTTGACATGTATATTTATAAGCTTTAATATGACCAAAGATACCTGATTCTCGGAAGAAGAGAAACATATCTGTGTAGATCCATGCTCCGGCCTTGACTGGTGGGACAATGTCGGGAGAAACTACAGTGGCCAGTTGATGTGAACGGAAGTAGCACTGCTCTTCTGCGCAATGTATGTTCTTCGCACCGCTTCAGGTCACGGTACCATATAAACACGCTGGCGGAAGTACATCCTTATGTTCGATTCCTTCTTTCTCATGCCAGATACTTCTCTGTTCGCTCCGCAACGAAAACAACCCATACATGCGATGTGCCACCTCCCTACTCTCCAGTCCGCCACAAAAATATCAAACCACTAATGTGTTGTGCCATCTATATCTCCACTGTACACTCCGCAACACAAATAATATGGGAGACTGGCCCAGAGAGTGATGAGGGTTGAAGCTGGGTTGAGGATGGAGACTTAGAAACGGAGGTAGACTTGGGCTTGGAGAGGGAGGAAAGCTGAAGCTTAGAGAGGGTTGATGCTTAGAGACGGAGGTGGACTGGGGCTTAGAGAGGGAGGAGGGTTGAAGATTAAACAGGGTTGAAGCTTGTAGAGGGAGGCGGACTGGGGCTTATAGAGAGATGAGGGTTGAAGCTTAAAGATGGTTGATGCTTAGAGGCGGAGGTGGACTGAGGCTTAGAGAGGGAGGAGGGTTGAAGATTAAAGAGGGTTGATGCTAAGAGACGGAGACTGATTGGGGCTTAGAGAGAGAGGAGGGTTGCAGCTTAAAGAGGGTTGATGCTCAGAGAGGGGGGCTGATTGGGGCTTAGTGAGGGAGGAGGGTTAAGGATTAAAGAGGGTTGATTGGGGTTTAGAGAGGGAAAAGGGTTGAAGCTTAAAGAGGGCTGATGCTTAAAGAGGGAGGTTGATTGGGGCTTAGAGAGGGAAGGGGGTTGAAGCTTAAAGAGGGTTGGTGCTTAGAGACGGAGATTGATTGGGGCTTAGAGAGGGAGGAGGGTTGAAGCTTAAAGAGGGTTGGTGCTTAGAGACGGATGTTGATTGGGGCTTAGAGAGAGAGGAGGGTTGAAGCTTAAAGAGGGTTGGTGCTTAGAGACGGAGGTTGATTGGGGCTTTGAGAGGGAGGAGGGCTGAAGCTTAAAGAGGGTTGGTGCTTAGAGACGGAGGTTGATTGGGGCTTAGGGAGATAGGAGGGTTGAAGCTTAAAGAGGGTTGGTGCTTAGAGACGGATGTTGATTGGGGCTTAGAGAGAGAGGAGGGTTGAAGCTTAAAGAGGGTTGGTGCTTAGAGACGGAGGTTGATTGGGGCTTTGAGAGGGAGGAGGGCTGAAGCTTAAAGAGGGTTGGTGCTTAGAGACGGAGGTTGATTGGGGCTTAGAGAGAGAGGAGGGTTGAAGCTTAAAGAGGGTTGATGCATTGAGAGGGAGGTGGATTGGCGCTTGGAGAGGGAGAAGGGTTGAATATTAGAGAGGGCTGATGCTTAGAGAGCCAGAATTTTTTAAGCTTAAAGAGGGTTGTTGCTTAGAGAGGATGGGTGCTTAGAGACGGAGATGGATTGGGGCTTTGAGAGGGAGGAGGGTTAAGGCTTAAAGAGGGTTGATGCTAAGAGAGTGAGCATTTTTTAAGCATAAAGAGGGTTGTTGCTTAGAGAGGATGGGTGCTTAGAGACGGAGATGGATTGGGGCTTTGAGAGGGAGGAGGGCTGAAGCTTAAAGAGGGTTGATGCTTAGAGACGGAGGTTGATTGGGGCTTAGAGAGAGAGGAGGGTTGAAGCTTAAAGAGGGTTGATGCATTGAGAGGGAGGTGGATTGGGGCTTGGAGAGGGAGAAGGGTTGAATATTAGAGAGGGCTGATGCTTAGAGAGCCAGAATTTTTTAAGCTTAAAGAGGGTTGTTGCTTTGAGAGGATGGGTGCTTAGAGGCGGAGATGGACTGGGGCTTAGAGAGGGAGGAGGGTTAAAGCTTAAAGAGGGTTGATGCTAAGAGAGTGAGCATTTTTTAAGCATAAAGAGAGTTGTTGCTTAGAGAGGATAGGTGCTTAGAGACGAAGATGGACTGGGGCTTAGGGAGGGAGGAGGGTTGAAGCTTAAAGAGTGTTGATGCTTAGAGGCGGAGGTGGACTGAGGCTTAGAGAGGCTAGGGATGAGGGTTGAAGCTTAGAGAGGTTGAGGATGGAGGTTGAGAGAGGCATTAGGCTTAGAAAGGAGTGGGGAGGTGGTTAGAGAATGAGGAGGCTTCGAAGGAGGGGAAGGGTTGAGGAATAGGGAGTGCTGAAGATTGAGGCTTAGAGAGGGAGGAGGCCTAGAAAGGAGGGTGGTGGTGGCTGAGGGTTAGGGGGTGGCTTAGAAAGGAGATGGGGGTTAGAGAGGGAGGAGGCTCAGAAACGGGAGGAGGATTGAGCGTTAGATAGGGAGGAGGTGTAGAAAGGAAGGGGAGGGTTAGAGAGGGAGGAGCCTTGGAAACGGGAGGAGGACTGAGAGAGTAGAGAGGGAGGAGGCTGGATGTGAAGATGTAGTCTTAGGGAGTGATTTAAAAGGAGAGAGGCTTTGAGGAGTTATGGATGTTTAGAGAGGGCCGATGAAAGCAGGTAAAGGGATGGACGTCGAATGTTACCTCTTCATTGCGGGGATGGTAGGTCTTTAAGCCTCACAAAGGCGACGTTGGAAGCTTAGAGAAACGGAGGCCTACGACGTGTAAGAGGATCAGGTAATAAAGTAAGGCGGCTTAGATAAGGATAGGGAAGGAACTGCGGTTGTGAGGCTTAACAGTTCGCCTACCAGCATGGGTTGTATATATTGACTAGAGCAATAACGTACTGTTATATATTCATGACATGAATGTGAAATAAAGCCCAAATGTGATTGTCCATGTCATGCGCTGTTGTTGTTGTTATTGTAGTTGTTGTTGCTGTTGTTGTTGTTGCTACAGAAACTCCACCAATAGTGACGCACTGAATACTCACTTTGAAAACACGAATTTACTGAATACATGAGCGATGTGAGCATACACAAATGTACACACTTACTGTAAACACACATACGTACTTGTTACACACTTACTGTTAACACACATACGTACTTGTTACACACATACGTACTTGTTACACACTTACTCTTAACACATACGTACTTGTTACACACTTACTGTTAACACACGTACTTGTTACACACTTACTGTTAACACACATGCGTACTTGTTACACACTTACTGTTAACACACATACGTACTTGTTACACACTTACTGTTAACACACTTACGTACTTGTTACACACTTTCTGTGAACACACATACGTACTTGTTACACACATACTGTTAACACACATACGTACTTGTTACACACTTACTGTTACTCAGCCTTTCACTCACTTCATCTCGTTCTTTTGACAGAGAGCGGTGGGGTAGTCTAGTGGTTAAAGCGTTCGCTCGTCACGCCGAAGACCCGGGTTCGATTCCCCAACATGGGTATAATGTGTGAAACCCATTTCTTGTGTGCTCCGCCGTGATATATAGCCGAAATAGTGCTAAAAGAGACGTAAAACTAAACCCACTCACTCACTCTTTCATTCACGCACTCACTCACTCTTTGATCAGAGCAGTTACTAATGTACACACATTTCCCTCCATAATTCCCGCTACATAACTCTTAATCAGTTTATCCTTGCGTCATACACAAGCTGTACTGATCATCAAGCCACAACAAGCAATGTTCAAACGAGAGACATGCATGTGCTCACCAGTTCCCATGACTCCACACAGCGTCAGTGGTCGTTATAGCGACAACTACTAGAGCCACAGTACAGTTGGGTAGGAAGTCGAATATGGGACACATTGAAATCATTGTTGGCGTTGTACACACATTACTACAGGGACTCCAACATAGCTGCTTACATAAGGGGACAATGTTGCCCTGGGGGTAGTCCCGGGGGAAACCCGGACGTCCCAACCACCCACAGCCAGTCTTGTGGGGCACGCAGCATTGTTCTATTGTTGGCTGGCTTGGTGTGACGTATGTACACAATACATGTTCCAGGTGACATAGAGGGAAACTACACAGAGATGAATACACACCAATACCATGGTTCCCAGCAAAACAGTGATGGCAGTGGCTACAGTGTGGGAAGCAAGAGGCATCCTTAATGGTGGCCAGTGGTCTTCAATTCAGATCAGGCACGAGTTGCATCAATTTGAAAACAAACTTAACAAACAAATGACAGCTAAAACGACCATTGTTTCACATATCTGATGTGTTACTCCAATAATATACTTAGGTCCTGCGTTCCTTCGACGGGAAGGGGGACGGTGGGGTAGCCCAGTGGTTAAAGCGTTCGCTCGTCACGCCAAAGACCTGGGTTCGATTTCCCAAATGGGTACCATGGGTGAAGCCTATTTCTAGTGTCCCCCGCCGTGATATTGCTGGAATATTGCTAAAAGCGGCGTAAAACACACTTACGAACGGGAAGGACTTTGGCAGTAGTAAACAACAAGAACCGGTCGACGTCAACCGGGAAACTGAAAATGGGTTTCTTCTCTTCATTGTTAGTACAAACATTACTCCATTGATTACCGTTTTAGGACCGCGACTAGTTTAGCACAACCGTCTGTCTTGGTGTTAAGCCAAATCCTACACGTTATAGGTTGGCAATACATGTACGCGCGACTGTGTAAGGAATGCAACCTTGCTGTAGGCTTGCGCGAGCAGTCGCCATGTGACCAACCGATACTCATTGGTCTGTTGTAACAGGGACATCATGTAACAAACTGATACTCATTGGTCTGTTGTAACAGCTACACCATGTGACCAACTGATACTCATTGGTCTGTTGTAACAGGTACACCATGTGACCAACCGATACTCATTGGTCTGTTGTAACAGCTACACCATGTGACCAACTGATACTCATTGGTCTGTTGTAACAGGTTCACCATGTGACCAACTGATACTCATTGGTCTGTTGTAACAGGTACACCATGTGACCAACTGATACTCATTGGTCTGATGTAACAGGGACACCATGTGACCAACTGATACTCATTGGTCTGATGTAACATGTATACCATGTGACCAACTGATACACATTGGTCTGATGTAACATGTACACCATGTGACCAACCGATACTCATTGGTCTGATGTAACAGGGACACCATGTGACCAACCGATACTCATTGGTCTGTTGCACCAGGTACACCACCATGTGATCAACCGATACTAATTGGTTTGTTGTAACTGGGACACCATGTGACCAACTGATACTCATTCGTGTGATGTAACATGTACACCATGTGACCAACCAATACTCATTGGTCTGATGTAACATGTATTCCATGTGGCCAACCGAAACTCATTGGTCTGTTGTAACAGGTACACCATGTGACCAACCGATACTCATTGGTCTGATGTAACAGGGACACCATGTGACCAACCGATACTCATTGGTCTGTTGTAACATGTACACCATGTGACCAACCGATACTCATTGGTCTGTTGTAACATGTATACCATGAGATCAACCGTTACTTATTGGTCTGTTGTAACAGGGACACCATGTGACGAACCGATACTCATTGGTTTGTTATAACTGGGACGCCATGTGACCAACCGATACTCATTGGTATTATGTAACATGTATACCATGTGACCAACCGATACTCATTGGTCTGATGTAACAGGTACACGATGTGACCCACCGATACTCATTGGTCTGTTGTAACAGGGACACCATGTGACCAACCGATACTCATTGGTCTGATGTAACATGTACACCATGTGACCAACCGATACTCATTGGCCTGATGTAACAAGTACACCATGTGACCAACCAGTACTGATTGGTCTGTTGTACTGTATACCATGTGACCAACCGATACTCATTGGTCTGATGTAACAGGTACACGATGTGACCCACCGATACTCATTGGTCTGTTGTAACAGGGACGCCATGAGCCTTACTGTGTCCGCGAGACACTATCAACTTCTAGAGTTTTATAGTCAACACAGTCAACTTGTAGCCTTTTGTCTATCCCACTACTTCATCTCGACTTCTTGCTGTCAATCCCTATCAAAGTCTAGAATTTTACAATCAACACAATCAACATCTCGCGACCAACCCAGCTGCCGTCCATTTGTCATTGATCTCCTAAATGCTTGTTGTCAAGCCAAGTCACCATCTAGATGTCTGCCATCAACAACATTCACCTTCCTGATTTATGACATCAACCCCAGGAAACCCCTTGAGGCTTGGTATCAACCATCTAGATGTCTGCCATCAACCACATTCACCTTCCTGATTTATGACATCAACCCCAGGAAACTCTTCGAGGCTTGGTATCAACCATCTAGATGTCTGCTATCAACCACAGTCACCTTCCTGATTTATGACATCAACCCCAGGAAACTCTTCGAGGCTTGGTATCAACCATCTAGATGTCTGCTATCAACCACAGTCACCTTCCTGATTTATGACATCAACCCCAGGAAACTCTTCGAGGCTTGCTATCAACCATCTAGATGTCTGCCATCATCCACATTCACCTTCCTGATTTATGACATCAACCCCAGGAAACTCCTTGAGGCTTGCTATCAACCATCTAGATGTCTGCCATCAACCACATTCACCTTCCTGATTTATGGCATCAACCCCAGGCAACTCCTTGAGGCTTGCTATCAACCCAGGCATCTTCCCGGTCGCTGCAACAAACCAGTCACCCTCTGGATCTGTGCTTTCAACCCTAGTGAATTGACCCAGTTGCTTGCAATTGACACAGCCCCATCCCATCTCTTTAACATTAACCTCAACCTTAATCTGCGTTGTGTGGGTTTCAGTTCCCTCTATTCTTCATCGCTTGCCGCCTATCCGTCTTGTATTCAACGTGAGCAGTACGGTATATGAGCAATCTGACAAGAAGTGACTCTCTGCAAACACAAATACCCTACAACTCCAGTCTAGGGAGTGTTAATAGTCCAGGGGAACCATAATTGTCTGTCTTTGTCTTGGCTTATATCGCAGTCATCGTGTGTATAGTCTCACAGCAACACGCAGCTTCACTGGCGATCCTGCAATTAGCATTTTATAGCTTCTCCGATCGTTGGCAGTAAAGAGCGCCAAGTGATCATGGTCGTTGAGAATTGTTTGTGCCATTACTTAAATACCCTGGAAATGCATGAATACGACAGGCACTGAAAAAGTGGCATTAAATGGTAGTTAGATGATTCTTCTTGTGGTTATTGATGAGAAAGGTTCGTCCTTCCCCGTTCACCCCGTCTTCCGCAGCCACCAGTAGGCTGACGCACCACGTCATCTTTATTTGCATGGGAATTACTGTTTACCCGTATCACTAACTTAACGACGACATAACTCTGTTTGAATTAAACATTCCATGGCAAGATTGACTTAAATAGCTATTACAGCGATAGACAAACTCGGCTTATCTGTCGAGTATGACGACAGTAGCCCCGGTAACGCCATCTCTGTCTTGCTAAGTCAGTCAGAAGTTAAATTGCCTCCACCTAACACACGATGTGGAAGTGCGTTTAGATTTGAATTCAGTTCCATCCAACTCTCCTCGTCTATATAAGGTTGAAGATAATGAAATCTTAAAATAGTTCAAACATTAGATTGTCAACAACACTGGCGGATGTGTTTAATGTGTCTGTATTTGCGTCTGACGATGTTGTGTCTGTACTGGGCCCACTGGAAACAAAATGCTGGATATACGTTACTTCGAGCGTGCCCTGTACAGGAACATGTTCAATGGCTTTGTAATGTAATGTAGGATAATTACAGTAAATATAGTAAAACATAGTAAAACTAAACGTAATGTATTTGACACACAACGCGTCGTGATAATTACGTGGACATTAATTCCGATATATGT